CTCACCAGCAAGGAACAGTCTTTTGCAAATGCCCCCAGACCCAACAGCAGCGCGCCTTCCACAGTCGGGAGGGAATGCACGCCGCAGCCGAGAAACAGAGTACAAGAAATCTTTCGTGACAATACATTGCTATTGCCAATTAACTGGGATTTAGTCAAAAGAAAGGCTGCATGGCAATAGTGGATGCAGATTTCTTTGTATTTCTTATATATAAGGCTTCAGTGGATCATGAAAAAGCTCATCTCTCTAGTATATCAAAAGGTGTTTGTACCTAAATATAAGCTAAACTGGGGATCAAAACACACATCTATTTCACTATGTCTGGTTTATGGTTCAGATAAATGAACCAGATTAACCAAACTCTTAGCTCCATACTTCATAGCATAGGAGCAAACGAAGGAAGAAGAAAACCTACTGCAATTCAGAGAGCTGATAAGCTGTCACTGGAGCAAAGCAAAGTGTCTAAGAACATTTCATCTGTTCTGCATTTTGGGAGTTTGAGCACCACTATTAGACAACCTGCAGTGGAGGCTATCAATGCATTCAGATGCTGGTTTCTTTCCAGTCCAACATACTTCTATTTAGTGTTATCGTTGCAGAAAGTTGAAGCTGCAAAGAACTTTGAAAAATGTAAATTCTGCCATATCTCATACACTCCAGACATTTTGTACAGCATAATGAACGTGCCCTGTCCATGGCAGATGTACAAGAGAAACGTCACGGGTCAGAGGACCTCCTCCTCAAATCAGAGTTACTGAATGATAACACATAGGAACTATAATGAGGCTGATTTCCCATGGTATACAGGAGTTCAGCAGTGATCTTAAAAGCAATGGATTTACAGCAGTACAGAACTAGTAAAAGTGAGCAGACTGTGGCCTCGCCTTTCTCCTTTCTTTGGTGGTATCCACCTCGTCTTGCTTCTCACATCTGGATTGTGAGTCTTTTTCCTTTGCATCTGTAACAGCATGTAGTACAGGGGGACGGGAGGGCAGAAGGCGGCTGGTTTATAACTGTGTGTCCCAGACACTCTTGCAGTACCAGGAAACAAAACACAATGCAACAGAATATAATCCATTAAATTTCCCTGACAAAACCAGTGAAGACATCAAATAAGTGGAATGAGGAATTAGCATGTGCAGCTACAAGGTTTCTCTCAAAGAAAACTCCCTGCAGGGTCACGTGTCTCGGGTCTCAGCTTCAGCTCGGCTGAAACACAACATATGAAAAAGTTTCTGAACTGCAGCTGGCTCCTGAGTGCCATCAGAAACTAAGTCAGATGAGAAAACAGCCCAGAGCGTTTAAAAGCACAGCCTACATGCTCTCAAGCTCAGGCCAGAGCACAACCTATGCCACCTCCCTGCCTCAGCGGTGACCGGATACCCCATCGCATCTTCACCTGGCTGCTCACGGACCTGCTCCGTGGGTGCTGGGGCAACACAACGGGTGCTTCATGGAAATAAAAAAAGGCACTCGCATCCCGCTTGCGGCAGCCGTCTCTCCTGGAGGTGCACCTCATCCAGCCGGCGCTGTCGGCATCCCGCCGAGGCGCCCCACGGCCGCCTGCGGGCCAGGACCCCCCGACGCGCTCCTGCTGCTGGAGGACAGTTTCTCAGCCCGGCTGCGGGGACGCACGCCGGCCCCCTGACGGCACCCGCACCGCCAGGGTCTCCTTCCCAGGGCAAGGGCAGCGACAGCACTTGTCTGCTATAAAACTACGGCAATCTGAGACCAAGGATGTGATCATGGACCGAAGCCAGTATATGAGCAAACCCAGTACTCACCCAAAAGCAGTGAGAAATCAAGACATCCCCAGATTAAAAATCTAACTTTTTTTAAGTGACTTAAAACTAACATCTTTCTTGTCAAATATTTCTGCTAATACGTCAATCACTTCTGCTTATCTGAATCCACATGCAGTGATGTACAAAGTGACGCTAATATAAGCTCCAGGAAAAAACTTATTGTTTCCCTAGGAAATGAAGGCAGGGAATGAAAACATGAAGCCCAGACTTGAAGGGTAGAAGAAAGTAAAGGCGCATAAATGAGAAAAGGTCACAGATTATTTGGAGAGGTACAGCCAGAACTTTGTACATCTGTGTATTAGTCAAGCATGAACTATTTTAATACTGAATGTGCTCACGAAGCTTAGAAACACCCCCTCACCCCAATGCTAAATCACTTACGAGGAGCTCCTTCAGCCATTTCAATAGCAGTGATTCCCAGAGACCACAGGTCACTCTGCAGGAAAAGAAACAGTGCACATTGCAACTTGCAGCATTTAAGGTTTTTTGTTGCAGGTTTTTTTTTTTTCCCTCTTTTTTCTTAAGTTTTCCTAGATTTCTTCTGGATCAGGTCATTTTAGTGCGAGAGTGACATACATTCTGCTCCCTCCCACTCCCTACTGAGTTTTTAGGAAATGTGCTAATAGTCAGAAGCTTTCCTTTTCCCATGTAACTCGGAATAGCTGATTCATCATTTAAGCAGCCAGACCCAAAATGCAAACCTCTTCTCTTCCAAAATAAAAGATGCAGAATATAGCAGGCACTGTTTAAAAACACGTCTCAAGTCTTTAAACCGTTGTCAAGAGGCAGCGAGACATGACCTCTGTTGCACCCCTGCTCCAGGCCAGTAAAATCCTGGTCTTAATGCTTATTTCAGAGTAGTCATTCCCGAGTTTTTACACTGATGGAGCAGAAATTACAGTCAGGTCTAGGAGCTAACTTTTTCATACCTATAAAGTCTCCAATTGCATGTTTTTGGACATATGAAAGGAGAGCACAATCAGGCAGTCAGATTTATACCTCAGCATATGTTGAGCTCAGTTGCTTTAGGCTGGAGTTTCCTTTATTAACTTATCTGAATGCTAAGGGCCAGGCTCTGATCATGGAAGGTAAATTGGGAACACTGCTAGTGATGGTAAAAACTTCACAGGTTTCCACCCGATTAATCATGTGCATCGATTTTCTATTTCTGTGTCTAAATGTAGCCCAATGAGAGATGCATGACCAAATCAACATGTGGGGTTTCTCTAAAATTATCTTTTAAAAGGGCGAGTAATAGACAGAAGGCAACCCTTCAAAAATCAGAAACTATATACCACCATAAGAGCATGACGGTATATCATATCACATGAATATCATTGTATATATGACACAATGACGGCTCATATCAGACCTGGCCCTCTACCTAAATTTGACTTTACCAACAGTGCCTTCTCAGTCCAGCTGCTCCAAACTGCTTTATGCAAGCTGAAAAACAGTTTGCGTTATAGTTTGCGGAGGGATCTGAGAATAAAATTGGTAGAAATTTAATAGATTCAAGATCCTGACTTGTTATTAAATGACTAAAAACAAGAAGAGAAAAGTCTTCTAAAGAAACGTCAGAAGAACGACTATCGCATGGAAGTACTCTGGGAAGAATGGGAGAAAAGCAGGCTACAGAGAATTTGGCTTGGAGTTTCAAAGTGTGAGGGGCAGCCAGGTGAAAGGAAAAACAATAGCTGTGTCTGTAAAGGTCAGCCTATATATGCATATCTGCCTATCTGTTTTTATTCATTGGTTATTTTATCATTTTTCCATCAGAGCTGGACCAAAAAGAAGTTACAGACACCAAAGAACGGCTTCCTGCTACTTTTCTCACCGTATCCTCTATAAATCTATGCAAAAAAGATCGGCCCCTTGCCACCTTCTGAGTCATAGCACTGTCCACATCAGCATTTCCAAAGCCCTCTGCTGATTGGTTTTAAACTACCATCTGCAGCATCTGTTCAGAAGCAGGCATAAAGACATAAATGCAAGCAGATGAACTGTGTTTATAATTCAAAGCAAAGAAAACTCAAAAATTAGGGGTGCACGTTCCTAATGCTTATGTAGTCTGAAAAGAACATACTCTGAAAAGAAAATCAACTGAGGACAGAGAATGAAGACAAGAGATTCATTTCTTGAGGTTTCTGCGTAAGATTTATATGGTATGAAAAATAAAATAAAATCCAAGAACATTCTTTGGTCGTGACTGCCATTCACACAATGTAACTTCACACTGCCAATGCATCACAGAAGACCTTAACAACTGAGGATCACAGCCTCTGATTCAGTAGAGAACGGCAGCAATGACGAAAGATTTTTGAAGCCACAGTTACAATTAGAGGTGCAAAGCGGCAACCAAGACAGCATCCAGACCAAGAGAGGGCCTGGAAAAAACAGCTGCCCAGAAAGTCACCCCTGGAAAACAACATGCATGGTGAATGTAGAGAGATAACACTGCTGGAAATAGGCCAGAGGACAAAGAATAAGATTCGTAAGTCTCTTTAGAGAAGCATCAGCATATCATAACAGGTAGGAGAAGAACTAGAAAAAAAGCGTTTGATAGCTGCCATTGGTACGCATGTTGCAGAGCATTTAGGTCACCCCAGAAGAATACAGAAACTGTTTCTTTGACACCCACTAAGAGGATATCTAGCATGCACTGACTCAGGAGCGAAAATAAGCTCAGGGACTCTTTAACCAGTGCAACCATAGGGATGTAACAGCAACAGATAAGGCCCATTTATTTACTCATTCTTTTCTGCTTCAGAGATTGGCAGTGACTAGGCTGCATTAGGAACAGTGATGCCAGCAGGCTGAGAGAGGTGATTATCCCCCTCTGCTCAGCACTGGTGAGAGCACCCTGGGAGTGCTGTGTCCAGGTCTCCCAGCACAAGAAAGCCAAGGACATACTGGAGTGAGTCCGGTGAAGGGCCACAAAGATGATTAAGGGACTGCAGCTGGGAGGCTCCAGGTTGAGAGCTGGGATCGCTCAGCCTAGAGAAGAGAAGGCTCGGGAGGATCTTACTGGTATATGATTTGGGAGTAAAGAAAAGAGAGTCAGACTCTTCTCAGTGGTGCCCAGGGACAGGACAAAAAGAAATCACACAAGCTGAAAAGCACAAAATTCTGTTTAAACATAAAAACAACCTTCTTCACTGTGAAGGTGGTCAAACACAGAAGCAGGTTGCCCAGAGAGGCTGTGGAGCCTCCATCCCTGAGCTATTCAAAACCAAACTGGACTCAGCCCTGAGCAACCTGCTGTAGCTAATCCTGCTTGAGCAGGGCTTCGACTACATGATGCCCAGAGGTGCTGGCCTCTCTCAGCTGTCCTGTGCTTCTATGAATGACCAGAAATCATTCTGGGATGGGAAACCTGTTAGACATATGCTCATAAATGAGTGAAGTGATATGAACTATTGCCACAAAAAAAAAAAAAAACCTCTTATCAGAGGAAAGCAGTACCTAGCCATACTAGCATTACACTACTTCTTGAGTGTTCTTCCCAAGTTGACTTCTTTTCCATCCTGACCGGCAACCTCTTTATATCACTGTATTGCACTTTTGCACTAAATGGAAGCTCATAGATGTGTATTTCACGTATTAACAATTCACAAAGGTAGTCATAGTGAAACTCCATTCTTAGAACAACAAAAAAAAAACACAAAAAACAACCACCCACATATTACAAATACTTCTATTTGTACTGTTACAATACTCTTGCGGTTTGAAGGAGGGAAGCTTGAACTTTTCAAGTTCAGTGCTTGAAAAGTATTTCAGCAACAACACACATGCTTTGCTACCCTATGCGGAGTTGTAACACTTACTCTGTAATCATATGTAGAGTCGGGGTTCTCCTCACAAGCAATGACCTCAGGTGCCATCCAATATGGAGTTCCAATAAACGTATTTCTCCTCCCAATAGTCCTATCCAGTTGGGCACTTACACCGAAATCCACTGAAAAGCCAAGCAGAGGTAAAGAAATGAATAAAAAGTTGTATCCATGTAACCAAATGTTTGCGCAGTTACTTTCAAACTGTTTTGATACCAAACCTTTGGGTTTCAACATTTATCACAGCTGAGTTCCTGCAGTATATGGTGTCCAGCAGCTGAAATACAACTGCTTTTTGCTCTGTTTTGACAGAAGGATCACGAAGAAAATAAACAGCACGGTAAATCTAGCAGTCAGGTTACAACAGACATGAACTACTCTGCAAAGGTATTGCAGAATAAGTTATGCTTCGTCTAATGCTGCATTGAGGAAGCTCCAGATCTTTATCTACTATCTGAAAGGAAAACAATGCTTATGAACATGAAAAAAATCGGATGTGTCTAATAAGGCTATTTGTTAAAGTTGGAAAGAATACTCATATCGCTGGCACTTGCTTTCGAACTGCTTTGAAGAACTCCTTCCTTGCATTTGTACAATGGAGCCCTATCTTAGAACAGGCTGGATAGTATACTAGTTTATTCAGCTCTTAAGACTCATTATAACCAGAGAGCTGTGTGGGGCTCTTTGTGCTGGATAGACATTACTTTCTTTTCAGGAGTGTACAGCAAAATGGGTTGTTCAGATACAAAGAGGGCCCATACAACCAGCAATTACGTGATTTCATTTTCCTTTGAAGAAACCTCTAGAATATACTAGTTGGATCCACAGGGCATAGTGTAAGTGCTACTCACAGAGAAGACAAAAATAACAGGGAAAGGAAAGGACGAGAAGGAGACCAGCCCTATTGTTACCATCAAGGAGCCAATTTTCTCACTTATGTTTCCTCAGTCCTGATCATCTGCATAAAATGATAATTTGTACTACCATGATTTAAAGGGTCTGTTTATCAAATCTTCTCTAATAATACGTTGGACCTGATCTTTGGAATTATTATGCCTTCTGTGCTTCCAAAGGGGCGCATGAAAGTAATTTATAAATAACACTTAAGCTGAAGTGGAACGCAATTGGACTGAGGATCTCTGAGCTTTCAAGCTTCTTTACTTTAAGAGACATTTGAGCTAAATCTCTCTGGAAACACTCCCCCCCCCTTTCCCTTTTACTGTTGGAATTAGTAAATCTGTCTCATCTTTACCCACCTAAACCCACAGTTAGAAAGGCTTAATTCTCTTCTCAAACATGCTTCTCTGAAGAGCAGAGGCACTAGAGTAACTAAACAAGATGGTAAACACACACAAAAAACAAAGAACAATTTGCCAGTTTCAAGAGACTACTAGCAAAAGCTGGTACATAGAAATCCTACCTCAACAGCAAAACTCCCTTTGACTTCAGTAAAGTCATACTTTCATCCTAAGGTTAAACCATAATGAGATTTACAGTACTATTTCATTTTGCTCCAGCCAAGTGCCTTACCCCACATCCATAGGAAATGTTTATTATTTTTGTTCTCAAGCTCTACAGTGATTTCTTTCAGCTAAAGAAAAGAGAGGGAGCATAAGGAACATTCAAAATGAGAGGTGCTCTCCTTGAGACTACTCCTGTAAATTACTACCAGTCATTCTTTGTGATGTCTTCTTGAACATAGGAAAGACATGCACCCCAAGGGAGATAAGTACTCAATTTTGGTATTAGAAAGTCAGGAGTTGTCACTATCGACAAGTTACACCTAGAAAAGGAAACGAGTAAACTCTAGAACATTCTTGGAAGATGACTATTACTAACTGCTACTTTTCAGTGATAGCCTCCGCACATGAATAATTTCACGTCAGAGCCTCGACATCTATTGTCAGAATTACGAAAATCTCTAAAACCACTTCCCTTAGCAGAATTTATTCCCCAAACATGTGTTTTTTCTTTTTTTCCTAAAGTCATTTCGAGTGAAAGGACAAGCATAACTTTGTACGCTGGGAGTTTGCTGTGAAGGCCTGGTAGTGCTGTGACATATTAGACAGCTTCTGTGTGTGACTCCCCAGAAGCAGCTGTATTCCTGGCATGCTGTGAGTGACATCCTTGCAGGACATGTCATATCTTTTCAGCTCTTTCTACGTGACAGTCACCTTATAACCACAAATCATTAACACTACTTGACACAGCCGTTGCTCTTGTGTTACTGAAGGTTCTTTCCAAGATGAGATGGAAATTTTAAAATTTTAATGCACAGGATCCTAACACTGGTTTAAGGAAACTTACCCAGTTTTACTTCTGCATTTTCTGTGAGTAGAACATTCTGTCCTTTAATATCTCGATGGATGACATGGTGAGCATGAAGATGCGCTAAGCCCTGAAAGACAACCAGACTTTCCTTATTCTTTCCTCCTATCATTATCGTGAGTTCGGCATTGTTGCCATTTTACATTTTCACCCTTCTCAGACTTCATTCATTGGGAAAGTTCTTTAGGCATGATTAGTAACATGATCACCCCAGTCTTGGCAAGGAGAGAGGAGAGCAACCACAGGCCTGATCCTCTCCTCTTTCATCCTCAGCCCTAACAGTAGTGGTGCCTCTCTGGAGTCAAGCGTGAAGAGAGTGAGGTTCCAATATTTTATACTTCACTTTCAGAATCAAAGGATGCCTCCTTAAACTATGTGTTAAAGACAAACAGAAGAGGGAAAGAACAGTGCAGAATGCTTTGTATGAGGTATAGAGTTAGCAGGTGACTGACCAGAGCAAAATTCTGCCTTTGGCAAAACTCTAATTGTATTCAATGGTAAATGGTATTTTGGACCGTGTATTTGTCCATGTCAGAACCTGGTTTTGAATGTAGCAAATATTACTTTCATTCAGCTAATATTTGCAATATTCTGGCACCTCCTTCCTTCCAAAATTATCCATGGCTAAACTAGCACAGATATAATGGAATACACTGAAATAATATGCTATAATAAGCCAGGGAATGCTTTGCTCAGAATGTTGCGCCTCTGTAATACTAATGACTTCAAATAGGCCTTCATCCCAAATCCTAAGTTTTCCAGAAAGAAACATTTTCAATCTATATGCAATCAAGTCATTCTCTGTTTTCCAACAGAGATGATTAAATCCAGTCTCTTTTCTTTACCCAAGCATGCTGTTACTGTTTTCAGGTGCAAGGCATAAACCAGTTTTTAACATCAATAGTTTTAATCGAGGTGGTATAGCCATACAAATAAAAGGATGGCAACCCAACCAGGCCATTAAGAATTTCTGGCAGAAGAGCTCTCCCCACAATCTCCAGCTATGTTTATTGCAATCTGCAATCCAATGCCAAATCCAGGTGAGATGGCTGATGTTCTCTGTTGAGTGCGCTTCTCATCTCCACTGTTTCAGAAGCAGAGAATTTCAAGCATTACTTTGGCATAAGTCATTTAAACAGCAGCTCCCAGAATACATATTTATTTTACCATTATTTAAAAAAAGAAGTAAAACTGCATCACAAGGAAGACAGATCAGTAGCTGTGTAATAGGTTTTGAATTTAGAATGACAGGTTCCAACATTTTTTTTTTCCAGGCTAGTTCACTAGACTACACATTCTTCTGAGCTTCAATTATATCATGAGTTTTGCTTTCACAGAGGATGCTTAGGAACCTGTACTTTCCAGGAATAAAAAAACCCCAAAGCCTGCTTAGAATGAAATATAGTCCCAAGAGTTACCTTGGGGAATACTGCTGCAGCAGGGCCACCTTTAAGATTCTGGAATGCTCTTTAGTCAAAGTCGCTTCTAATAGCGCAGAAGTCAGGCCCTGAACGCGTGCAGATAAATGAATTATGAAGAGAAAGTTCTTACACAGTGTGTACCGCTGGAGCAAAGAGCACAAACATCTGATGATGTGGAGGACAGACTTATTGAATATGGACAATTTATTTACTTTTGTAGATGCTCAAAATCTAGACTTCCAGAAGAATGGTTATTTGCCAAAGAAAATCATATATGACTTATGTGCTCTTCATGCGATTAACCGGAACAATATGGGATGTCAAGTAGCCATCGTGCTGGCTGATGAACCTTTGGGCCCTTCTGAACTCAAGGGTCACAGTCCACGAGCCCCATGCTTCCAGGCCTTAAAATGATACTGCTCATTCATGTCATGTGTTCGTGACCAACGGCTGGGAAGTGTCTTGTGTGTGGCAAATGAGCAACAAAACCCTGCTGGTATGACTCACCCTGAGAACCTCTCTGCAGATGTATGCAATCCAGTCTTCCTTGAAACAGTTACCTTTTGTCTTCTTTACCAAATCAGTCACAGAGCCAGCACCACAATACTCCATCACCAACTACAGGGAGACAAATGCAACACCTTTGCCATACCACAGACAGGACATGGGTAGAGACATCACGTTCATCACCTGTCCTCCCACGATTAAGGTGTGGCAAACCACATGGCACCCTTCCAAATGGCAAGTAAAGTAAAACCTCTTGTTTCCTAAATGCTTATATTGCTGAATAAATAAAAAACCTCAGTAGCGCTCTGCTCCTTGTATAGGTTGTGCACACTTCTTTTCTTCCTAGAAACTACAAAAATTAGGAAAACAAGAATTAACAGCACTGAATATTTGGGAATTTTTTCAAAATTTCCAATTTCCCACTTTGCTGCAAATCTCCAAATACATGGCAGCCAAAACAACGGAAAGGCTGCTTTTCCTTCTTTGTTTCCTTGCCTATTTCTCTGTTAGCTTTTTTATTTTCCTACTGGGAGAAGGGGGAGGAATAGACAAGAAAAGGAAGGGTGGGGGAGGATAAGCTCTCTTTCATGTTGACTGAAGGAAAAAAAAGACAGAACCATTTACTCAGGGGAAAATGTTCTAACTAGAAGTCAGCGTGACAAAACAAGCATCATCCAAACTTACACCCATCCTCAAAGGAAATCACAGAAGATGCAAGATGTGTTGGAAGGAGGATTTTTTCCCCTTTTATAAGATGCTCCTTGGAACAGGGCCTCAGTTTCACTGAGGCAAGATCCAAGCCAGGTACACTGAAGCTCTAAAGAAAGGAGCTGCAAACCTGATGAACATGAATGGTAGTAAACACTTACCCAGAGCTGATCATCTTGGCCTGCAGGGCTTTTCTTAACAAATGCACCATAATACGTAGCAATATTCCGGTGATGAGAATATTTTTTTAACATATTTATCTCCAGCTTGATTTCTTCTTCTTCATTCTGTAGCAAAAGAGAGCGTAACACTTTACAGGAGACAAGAGGTCTCCAAGAGCCAGGGCTGCCCAGAGTGGTCGGGCAACCTCTGTCTTTGGAAGTTTTCAAGACCCAGCTGCATCTTGAAAGCCCTGAGCAACCGGGTCTGATCCCACAGCTGACCCTGCTTTAAGTAAGGGGTTGGACTAGAGACCTCCTGAGGCCCCATCCAGCCTGAATTATTCTGTGATTCTAAGACAGCAATCAAAGGACAGAGTCTTAAACAGGCGACTGAATCACCCTGGTCCTTTGGCCTTAAAGAATGAGTTGCTAAGGTTTGACCTAAAGAATCAAAAATGTCCCGATGTGGGTATAGCAAACTCATATCCTTCCCTCATGGAGCCTAGACAGGGCCTATAGCTCGCCTATGCAATAATGTAGTCATGGAGAAGTTAATCAGACTTAAGCACAAATAAAAATACTCCTAACACTCCATTATTTAAATACTTGGGAAAGCACTTAGCACACACATCAGCCAATTTATCTTCCCAGTTCCACGGAGGGTACTGCTAGGGGAAACCAAAGCCAAGAAAGAAGTGACTCACCACAAATCAACCTCCAGAGCTAAAGCAAGGTTAGGAGCTGCTCCTTCCTTCTAGTCATGAGACCATCAGACCACGGAGTAATTTTCCCCCTCCTCAAATTACGCCCTCAGTTAAGTCACTGGTGTGCTAAGGCTAGCGCACATCACCCTAGACATCTTGTTCCAGACACTCTTCTTTTTGCTAGCCTCCTTTTTTCCCCACTGTTTTTGTTTTAGCGTCCTCAGAGCAGATACGCTCTTTTGCCCAGTGCAACACCACGCAAAATGAGACAATATGCAGCCAGAGCCATGGGGTGCTAATGGAAATACAAGGTCTAATAATTATATTATAGGGAACTGCTCCTTCTCAGAGGAGAGAACTCCCCGGTCTAGAGAGATTCTCTCAGAGCTAGCCTTTTTGTGATGTTGCCACCAAGAGAAACGGCACACACTACCCAGTTAAAGGCACGTGGATTTTGCAGTCTCATTTGCTTTGATAGGAACTGCATAGCTGTCCATGCATTGTGCTGCAAGGTAGCTGTGTGTATCAGCTAAAAGGAGTAAGACAAAGCTGACAATTAATTCCTCTTGCTGCAAAACATCCTAGCCAGTACTTACTAGCTGAAGGGGAAAAAAAGTGATCTGTAAGAAGGCAAGAAGAACGCCCAGACCCACAGGACATTTTTCTGCACTTTTCCACAATTTTCCAGCAGCTTTGCCATGAAAGCATTCCTTTAGCCATCACAACGGGCTGCTCAAAACCAGCAGCTTTGTTCTTTCTACCTGGATTAAAACATTAAAGCTGCACAGGCTGAAGCCAAATTCCCCCAAACTCTAATACATATGAGACTTCTTACTAAACCCCATCAGAAAAAAAAGCAATCCCTACAGACCAGAAGGGGCTAAAAACTTCCCCAGTAACATCAATGCACAGGAGAAATACTGCCAGACCAAAGCCTAACTATCTTAAGCTTTAGGAAATGGGAGATGTAAAATAACTCCACTTGAAGCAAAATCAGCTATTTCAGATTTTAAAACAGTCCCTCTGTTGAACACAGGCTCTCGGGCTGCATACATTATATCAGAAGTTTCATTTGTCTTATGCTTGCAATTAAGGAGAAAGGAGGACACTTAATCCTGGGCTTGATTGGGCCCTGGATGCTGAATGACTTAATTAGAGAGGGTAAGGAGGAGCCCCGTATAGCATCTGGAGTCCCCAAGAGAAATCAGAGCTGACTCCCAGACAGCATGCAGGAAATCATCTGTGAGCAAGGTCATATTTCTCTCTGCACGTGGCCAGGACAGGATCAAAGGGAGCTGAGAGCTTGTGCTAATGAGGAAAGGGCTCTCCTCTCCTTGGGACTCCAGATAGCGCCTGCACAAGGGTGGAAACAGGCAGGGGAGGAGAGGGGGCAGAGAATAAGAACATTATCACTGTCCCGGGTCTGACCACACAGATCCTGTTGCTGGTACGGGTTTCTGGTAATGAATCTTTAGGGAAGAAGGGAAGAAAAATGGACAGACAAGAGAAGATTCCTTCTCCTGCCTTACCTCCCTGCTCTCGCATCTTGTCCACCCCTCCTACTGGGGCTCCCTCAAAATCTGTTGAGTAACAACATTAATCTTTGGCAAAGGCCTTCTCCAAATTACTTAAGATCTCTTCAGGTCTTAGGCCCCCCCCCCTTTTCTTTTTAAACTGGTCATCTGCATGAAGTTGCTCACTGGTTATGCCAGACTTAAAAGCTTCCCTGCTATGTCCCTCGACACCAGCATACAGAGTTTTCACAAAGTTTCTCTTAGGGAGCTGGCAGACCTCAATCACTTTCTCAGAGTTGTTGCTCTGTTCTCAGCTCTTCTTCCTTTGTCCCATTCACTGGCTGGATTTTGGATCAACACTGGCAAGGCTTTTATTTGAGTATTTTCTATTCCCCTGCAATCCTGCTTCAGTGCTTTTAAGATAACAACAATAAGCACGTGCCTGTCTGTGGAGATGGCTGGAGTACCAGGTAGGCACATCCACAATCACTGGCAAGAGCAAAGTCACACGTGTGTCTGTAGAGTGCTCCTTTCCCACAGCCAACAAGAAGAACCCTGCCCTGTCTCACATCCTTATTTATTTACCCAGAAGGCTGGAACCTGCACAGACACAAACTGCTCTGTCCTCCCAGTGCTCGAGTGAGTTTGGGAAAGACTGCTCCCTTTCAGATGGGGAAACTAAGGCAGAAATGTGATTCGGCATGATTCTATCCCACGCTCCATGTCTGAAGGTGAGCCAGGAGTTAAGCCTGGACTTGCCAAGGCTCAGCCCCTACACGTCCTGTGAGCATGGGGATGGGAGACAAAAGCATCTTCAGCTTTTCAATACAGGGACACGTTTAGCACTTCCACTTTTCACCACCCCTGTGTTACCACCAGCCACACTGCCCCGAGATTTCGAAACCTGCTCTTAAATCACGCTGCCTAAGACAGGAAACAAGCTCACAGATGTGCAGGTGCAAAAAGCTGTTTGCCTGCACAAACCAATGTGCTTCTGGGCACAGATGGCTGCGTGCGCAAAGACGACAGGTTCATGATCAGAGGCTATTTTTGAAGATGTGGGCCTATCTGCAATGACATTAGGAAACAAAGAACTAGAAGGCACATGCCTCTGACCTCAGACGGAAATAAAATCAGCAGCCAATACACACTCCATCAGGAGACCCTTTAGTAATGGGGCAGCACTAATGACAAGTTTCTCATTTAAATGTTATTTTGATATCTGAAAAGACTGAAAGCAGATGACAGGGAATGGCCTGCTGCAGAAGAGCTCCTTGATCCCCTGCCATAGATCACATGCACCAACAGCCTAAAAGACAAGCAGCAAAAATTCGACTTCTTTGCAAGCCCTTTGCTTGCTTGGCACCGTCACATAACAGGAAGCAGAGCCTGCGTGGAGAGGCTCACGAGCACACATCGCCCTCAGCTCCACTTCAACAATTTCAAAGGGCTCCCGCCGCCCCCCCCCGTACCACGCTGCTGCAGCACTTCCTGACAGATGTCCAGAGGATCTCACAGTGACCTGCTGCTGCACTAAAGAAAGCAGCCCGGGGCTGCAGCTCATGGCAGCCAAGGGCAGATTTACTCAGCTCTTGATGTGCCTCAGATCTCAGAGCTGAGCAATCACAGCTGGAGGTGGGCAGGGATTTTCTGATGAGATGATTTCTTGCTGGGGGAAAAAAAAAAAGTAGGTTTGGTGAAACAGAATCTTTTGGCAGAAACATACCAGTTTTGACGAAACATTAGCTGAAATTCTCCTTAGGCGGGATTTTCTGGTGGAAATAGGATGCTAGGGGGAGAGAAACCCACTGCAGAATATCCAAGAGGCGAGGAAGCACCTCCTTGATACACCCTGGTTCAAATCCTTTCTCCCTAAGGTGGACAACTACCGACCCTGCTACTGAGCAACCTCCTAGGTGAGTGACTGAACCACAGACCATCTGTGCTGACATGGGGCTCTGTCAAACTTGCCCACTGGAATTGTCCCACTTTGAATAAGAGATTTACTGGAGGCTTGAATTGGGGGAGCCTTCTTAGCGGGGATCCAAATCCCAAGGTCATTCTAGGTTAAGTGTCCTTCAGCTTTTCTCCACTTTTTCTGGACAGCAGTGAAGGGAAAAAGATTGCGTTTGTTTTTGGTTTTTTTTTTAACCTTCTGACTTTCTACCACATGAAACTTTCACTCCCTACAAAAATTATTCCCTGTGCAGCACTAATCAGATCCTATAACCACCCAAAGATGCAAATGACCACAGCAGCTAAGAGCCTCCCATCTCACTGAAGCAGGTTTACTAAGACAGTTTCCATTTTGCACAGGCCAACCTCCTTGCGAGATGCTGCTCTCAGGTGCAATTTATATGCAGGACATTGCAGACAAGGATTTCAATATTTTAAAGACCTTATTTAATGCCTCAAGCCAGTTTTTCAAGCCCAAACGAACAGAAAATAACTTAAACCTGAGCAGACTAACAATGCAAGAGAAACACCGAAACCTTGGTAGGCACTGGATTGATCACACTGAATTTCTGGAGGTTTCTACTTTACAGTTAGGACCCACTATTATTGTAAGTGGCTTCAGTACCTAAATGCAGTGAAGCAGAGAAAGGCCATTCCTATTTTACAGACGAGGAACTGAGGTTCAGAGACGCCTAGGACATGCAGCGCATTCATTACCTTCAGCTTTACCCAGCTGCATCCATGCTCCTACCTACTGCAGCTGCAGAGCAGAAATGCGTTGGCTTCAACCACCCAGCAAAATATCCCCATTTACGCTACACGACAGCAGGCCAGGAGCGCGTCCAGTAGGCCAGGAGCCCGGACAGCTAGATGGGCTCAGGAGGCCAGCGGTAACCCCTTTTCTTACAGCTGCGCAGCCCGCCCTGTGCACCCTGACCGCCGGGGGAATTTGCACCGAGGTGTTCAAAGGGGCTCGGCCCCCCCCCCCCCTGCCCCACCCTGCTGCCGTGCACACAGCATTTGCAGCCCGCTGTGCTAAACTGAAAGCAAACGTGGTTTATGGTAACACGCGAGATGCTGCGGCTGAGGAGAGGACACCCCCGCCCTGCTGGCGCTGGCCCCGGCCCCGGGGCAGAGCAGACCGCCGCAGGAGGGGCTGCTGGCTGCCGGCACCCGCTTCACCACCCCCCACGAGGTCTGTGGCCCCCTGCAGAGGCACCGC